TTCTTCTTTTTTCCCCTTTATTCATAAAATACACATTTAAGGCTTATCTCTTACTTTCTTCCATTTCTAAAACATTTTGGTTATTTGAAAAATGTAAATCTAGCCATCACTCATTCAGATTAAACAGTCACTTCCATCTACTGAGGAGAAGGGATGGTTAACAGAAACCAGTGAAGATAATTATGCAGCCATGGGTGGTTAAAAAACTACAGCAGAAGAGTCTAAATTCTGAACAGGTGAAACTGGTTAACTATAACTTCAAAGGGAGGCCCTTCTACAGTCTGCTGATGAAACATCAAGGAAGCAAACAGTTGAAACATCAGTAGGAATAGTCAATTCTGATCAAAACAGAAAGAATCTCAGGTCATCTTTTCTCTGACTGCTGATAGTGTGGTCTATCAAAAACATGCAAAAAGATAAATAATATAAATTATTATTATAAAACCATTGTGTTAGAACCCAGAGGAAAACCCCTGTTATTTTGGTATATTTCTTATTTTCTATATGCATAGCAAATTTTTGTTTAAAACTATATTACACTTATGCATTTTGATCTAAAACCTATTTTTAAAGACATTATATTCAATCATGTAGGTGTCCTAAAACTTAACTGAGTTCTCACTTTTGGACACTAAAGATGTTTCAAGTTTTCAAATAAGTGTTGCAACAAATATACAAAAAACTCAGGGTATACTTCTGATTAATTCCTTAGGATAAACTCAAGAAGTAGACTTAGTGAATGAATACGAATCTTTTTAAAGCCTTCCTGAAATATACCATTAAAGTGCCTTTCAAAATGGTAGCACCAGCTTTTTAATGAATTTTAAAATAAATTTATGAATCGTTTGCTCCTTTTAGTGCAACCAGATGCAATTTGAATAAGGAGACTAAGTTTCTTCGAAAACAAATAGCAGAATTAAAGTAAATAAATTGCACAGTCAAATTAATTGATAATTAAGCATGTTTTAATACATAATGGGCTTTACAGTCTACAAATTTGTTTCCTTGAGTTATATTTTGGGTTTCTGACATTACTGAATTTTGATTGTGTTTTTAATTAAAAGTCTGTATTCCGATTACAAATCATTGGTATTTAGAATCCTGATAAAAGTTACCTCTGAATCTAGGACATAGTGTCTAATGGCCACAACAGTGAACCATCTCTGTAAATGAATGCTACCTGGAGACAGAAACTCTCTTAAGACAAATCTGAAAAATCTGAGAAATGTTTTAAACAAAAAGTACAAATATTTTTTCAGTCATTCAAATGCTATTTTTATACTAAAACAAACCAAAAACTCCATGTCAAATAAAAAAAGGAGAGGGGAGAAAATCATAGGAAAAATTCTAAGAAAGTAAAAAGTAGGAAGATCAAAGCCAAAAAAAAAGTAGAAATGCTAAAACATTCCATAAATGAGAAAACTTAATATAACAGGAGCATTAACAGAGGTAACAATAGAGTCCAGTCAGCAGAAGGAGGGTGGAGTGAACAAGAAGAACCAAAACAATGGAATAATTAGATAGGAGAAAGTGAATAAACAACCAAAGATCATTTGCGTTACAATACAGTGTTATTTCTCTCTTTTGGCTACACAATTATTCAGCCACCTCAACTAAGTAGGACGTTGCTGAGAACTAGAAAACAAGGAGGGAAAGGTTCTGAAAATAGTCAAAACTAACAATCATACTACACAAGCTCAAGTGCTTCTCTCATAACAATCACTTTAAATCCTTATTTTAAATAGAATGCTAAGAGGTTTGGTTATGACTTCTCTGTCTGTAGCATATTAAAAGTAGTAGGTCAGAAGCAAGGAACGATTTCCAGAGAGTGGTACACTGAAAATACATACCATCATAATTGCCAGTGACAAAGGATATACACAAATCACCGCCGCCACCACCAACAACGAAAAACTCAAGAACTGAAAAAACACAATAGTCTCAAAATAGGAGGAGGAGGAATAGACAAATCAAGCTTTACAATTGGCCCTAAATCCTAAATGCATCAGAAAATGGCATCCTTAAGAGATGAAAATGTTAAAAGTATAATCAGTGAGTTCTGATTTCTTTCTTTTCTCTCTCTCTTTCTTTTCTCTTCCCTTCCTTCTGTCTCTCTTTTCCTTCCTTCCCTCCCTCCCTCCTTTCTTCTCTCTTTCTTTCTTTCTTTCTTCCTTGAGACAGAGTCCCACTCCACCACCCAGGCTGCAGTGCAGTGGCATGAACATAGCTCACTGCAGCCTCCAACTCCTAGGCTCAAGTGACCCTCCTGGCTCAGTTTCCCAAGGAGCTGGGACCTCAGGTATGTACCGCCATGCCAAACTAACTTTTAAAATTACTTTTATTTTTATTTATTTACTTTATTTATTTATTTTTTTTTTGAGACACAGTCTTACCCCGTCAGCCAGGCTAGAGTATAGTGGCACAATCTTGGCTCACTACAACCTCTATCTCCTGGGCTCAAGCAATTCTCCTGCCTCAGCCTCCCACGGAGCTGGGATTACAGGCATGTGCCACCATGCCCGGTTAATTTTTGTATTTTTAGTAGAGACAAGGTTTCACCATGTTGGCCAGGCTGGTCCCGAACTCCTGACCTCAGGGGATCCTCCCCAACCTCCCAAAGTGCTGGGATTACAGGCGTGAGCCACCACGCCCAGTCTTAAAATTACTTTTATAGATACATGGTCTCGCTACATTGCCCAGGCTGGTCTCAAACTCCTGGCCTCAAGTGATCCTCCCACCTCAGCCTCCCAAAGTGCTGGGATTACAAGCATGAGCCACTGCACCCAGCCAAGTTCTGTTTAAAATGGAAGGGGCAGGCCACATTTTAATACATTTTAAAGTGGTTTCCACCCTGGAAGAATAAAAAGTAGAGACAGGCTTCCCTGCCCGAATATTTTACTTACGTTGAACATCTCAATCCCAAGCCAAGATCATTACAGTACAACAAAAATAATGAAACAGACCTACAACTGGCAGAGAAACAACAATTTTTAGCATGGAAAAGATAAATCATACTTGAAATCTACTTGAATCAGAAAAACAGTGATTGGTAACCCAGCACAGTCCCTATCACATCTATCCAAACACTATTGCAATGATCTGGGGTCCTGAGCAGGCTGACATGTCACCTTTGGCTTGGCCCATGGGCCTTTGTGCCACTTCAATCTTGGTCACTTTGTGTACCTCCAAAAAGTTCAGAAGCCACATCTACAAAAACTGCTATCACCTGGATCCCTTCCAAACCGAGAACTAGAATTTCTGCCTTTTCACGAACAGTTACAACACAGAACTGGAGTAATTTTAGTATTCAATCAACAATTTACATTTGACAAAATTTTAGGTATTTACTATGTGCCAGGTGAGCTGGCTCTATGTAAATATAGTAGACTGTAAAGAAACTTAAAGATTCCAGAGTCATCTAGAATACAGTTAATTTTCTGGTAATGTATTTCTCTACTACTGTATTTTTCAACTAGTCTCCCCAATATTAATAAAGATGCTATATATATTCTTTATCTAGATCATTAAAAAATCAGACAAGATTACAACTTTTCTTTGTGTTTGAATGAAATATACTTTCGTATATATTCTATTCCTCAGAAAAACATCGTTTTTATATTTTACAAAAATATAAAAGAAATTTCAGCCCAAATAATATTTTGAGATATACCATGTGAAAAACCTCACAAGAATACTTAAATAAAACCATAATTTTTATTACCAAAAATATGTTCCACATTGCAGCTAATTTTGAAATGAAGATAAACTGGATAACAGTTGATCAAATACATTAAGATCTTTCTTTGGAATAGCTAAATCTGTATCTAGTGGGCCATCTAGCTTTCCAACTTTCAGTGTCATAGTAAAGTAAGAAAAAGCACAAAAAACAAATACACCTCTGAAGTAATCTTGCCCAAAAACCTGTATTAATACTTGAATCTGATCAAGCCTCTGTATCTTTCAATTTAAAAAAAAAAGCAGGGCACAGAGGAACATGGCAAGGACGCAGTCATCCAAATCCGGGCTCACAGGGTACTGCGCTACCTCATTAAGACTTCAGCCTCAACCCCTGAAAGCTGACATCCAGTTTCCTACTCCGTGGCTACTGCTTTATGGCACTCTGAACACTGTACTGAAATTACATGTGTGTCTCCTGCTACAGCACCCGTACCGGGGAGCACAATCACATAGCTCAGAACAAGGCTCTGATGTCTGAATTAAAACCCCAGCTTTGCCCCCTGGGTTAACTCATTGATAAAAATGAAGAAAATATCACCTGCTGCTCAAAGGAATTTTAAGGATTCCATGAGAAAATATATGTAAAGCACCTAGCACAATTCTTGGCATATCTTAGGGAGTTAGTAACTAATGACTGAATAAATAAAAACCATAAGCAGCAAAATTAAATAGTGAATTTCATCTCTTTTGATTTCATCTAATCACCTTCTTACAGTATCTAATGAATGGTGAAATGCCAAAGTGACTAATGGTTAAAAAAAATTAGCAAACATAACAGGAATATTTTTTAAAAACAGGTCATCAGCTTCTAAATAACTGTGGCTGACTCTAGGGTAGTAAGGAATAACGTAATCACAGCAAACATCACCTGATGAAGAATGGCGTTATTAAGAGCTAAACCAGACCAAACCTAGTAAAAGCAATCAAATTTACTTTAACGAAAAGTTCTCAATATAATCATTTTCAAGCATAATTTTAATAATGTGGAAAACATTTCCAAAATAAGTTTTTAAATGTCAGCATTACGATTCTGAGTCCTTTCAGTTTTCTCACTAAAACACACTAACAATAAATTAAATCAACCAACTTTTCCATCTGAACAGTAGGTGGCATAACTGACCTACTGTGGGCCAGCTGCTGCAGTGAGTGATAACGGTCATTTTTTTAAAAGCTCAGTATAACATCATTCAAAATTCTGACAATATTCATTTAAAAGTCCTAACTTGAAAATGACATTTTTCAAATAATATGAAAATACTTACATCTCAATTTGTCCAGCATTTTTCCACCACACATGGTTGCTAACATAGCTTTAACTGAAAATACCGTCAACTTGCCTCGGCCCTCACTGCAAAATAAATTATATTAGAAATAATTGCTATCTGAAACCACAAAAGGAGTCAAATGTATCACTAAATACTGAGCAACCAGTAAGTTGATTCCTGACCTTGTCTGTTACAATTTTATCACATTTGGAAACCCTGGATTTTTTTTTTTTTTTTTTCTTCATTTGTAGAATAAGACTTCTCCTATGCTAGGTGACGAATGCTAAAGCTAGCCTGAATTTTCTGGAAGTTTTAGAAACACTCTATGTAATTTCTATTGGCTATGTAGCAGAGGTCAAATGGATGAACCTGAAGTGAGTTTCCTATTAAACCCATTAAATCCACAGCTGCAGTTCTCAAGTATTCAAAACTGAGGGGCCACCTGGTTTGAATATAATTCAGAAAGATAACCTTACATCAGGATATTACAACGGTTTCTTGTTACATACTAAACAACAGGGTGCATCTTGCTATGAAGATTTTATAGTACACTCATCTTTGTTTTTACTGTAACAACCTTTATGTTACCACGTGTTTATTCTAAGAAGCTCAATCACACCTGTCTCAGATATTCTAATACACCACTGTGAGAAAAGTGAAGAGGAAGGGATGGTAACATTAATTCTTCTTTAGGAACTGGAAAGATGAAATGCAGAACATAAATGAATCACCTAAAGTAATGCTGCACACCACCAGCAGAACCAAGATAGTATCACCAAGGCCTCTGACCCAGAGTGTCCATGGCTTCATTCATTCAACTATGCCCTGGTTTCACAGCAGATAAAAACTTCACTAGTTGGTTGTTAAAGTTACCACATGTAAGCCAAGAATGTGCTTTTTGTGTTAATTTTTAAAAGCCTGTGTTCACAATGTTTCATTGTAACTTAGAGTAAAATACTTTTGCAATAATGAGAGCTATACCATCTTTGTTTTGAAAAAGCAGGTATCATCCTGTTTATATCCACTAATGGTTCTAATACAGGGTTTCCCATTTTCCACAGAAAGATCACACCTGAAAAAAGGCAAATAGCCTATAAGCTAGAAAAGTATCCGTGAAAACACCACAAGGAAATATCAACATTTGTTACAGCTGAGCTTTTAACTATTACATCTCCTTGAGTTTATTCGTAAAACAAAATAGGAATGCCCGCAACTAGCTAAAATTAGAATGGGTTTTTTAAAATACATTGTTCTTCAGAAATAAAGATACAGCTCCATGTACAAGGCAATATGGCACCCAGAAACAAGGCATATTCCTGCATCAAATATCTACTGCATTATGTAAGAAAAGCTGATGGTTATAAGATAGATCATTAGGTTAAAAGGAATGGGTTTCTAAGACTGACACAGAGCTTTTACAGTGGACTTTCTTTTTTTACACCAAGCACTTGAATGCTGAGTCTACATTTAAGCACACCCTACCTTATGGGACAAGTAGACTTTCCACTACTAAAGTACAAAGAAGGAAAAAAAAAAACCATATATTTGCTTTCTCATCTTTTTTTGAAACTAGGATAGGGGCACATAACAGAGCTCTACCAATAAAATGCACTATGCTAGATTTCAAGGGGGAAATGATTAACTTGGGGAAGCAAGGAACTCCAGAAGAATCCACCTGGTGGGGATGGCAGCAGTTGGAGCAGCCACATCCAGTGCTCTGGGGCAGCAGAGATAATGATTCTTGGGGGCAGCACCCAGAGCCCAGTGTCAGTGGTGTTTGGAGCACAAGCAGCAAGGTCTGTGGCCAGAGAGGTGTCTTCATGAGAGTTCTGTGCAATGATTTTGCACTATGTTCCTGGCAGTGTAGTTTTCAAGCCTACTTTCCCAGCCTACTTACAGAACCTGTGGGTCACCCTTTTAATTAATTAGCCAGAGATGGTATCTATTACTGACACCTAAGAACTCTGATGGATACAGCTTCTAACCTGAAGTAAAGTGGCCCACAAAGATGAAGCAACAAAAGAAACTATTGCTGAAGTCCAGAGTGGGATTAAGAATGCCTGATGGGCTGGGTGCCGTGGTTCACGTCTGTAATCCCAGCACTTTGGGAGGCTAAGGTGGGCGGATCACCTGAGGTCGGGAGTTCAAGACCAGCCTGACCAACATGGAGAAACTCCGTCTCTACTAAAAATACAAAATTAGACAGGCGTGGTGGCGCATGCCTGTAATCCCAGCTACTCAGGAGGCTGAGGCAGGAGAGTTGCTTGAACCCAGGAGGCAGAGGTTGCGGTGAGCTGAGATCGCACCATTGCACTCCAGCCTCGGCAACAAGAGCGAAACTCTTTCAAAAAACAAAACAAAACAAACAAACAAAAACTTGTTATACATGTTGCAACGCATAAAAATTTCCATAATAGAATGTATACACACACACAAACATTAAAAATACCAAGGCTTAGGCCCAACCCTTAGAGATCCTAATTATTTGGCCTGGGGTGGGGCGTTGGCATTGATAAGTCTTAAAAGTTCCCCAGGTGATTCAAAACACAGCCAGAATTGAGAACCACTGACCCAAAACAAATCAACTTTATTTTAAAAAAAAAAAGAAAAAAAAGACACAAGAGGAAAAGGGGAAGTGCATTCACATACACAAAATAGCCATGAAAGAAATACAAATGACTATTAAGTGCATGAAAAGGCACTGACTTTAATTAATTAAAGGAAAAGAAATCTAAAAAATAATGAGATACATCTGTAAATGTCCTAAGTTACTGTTTCCAAAGACTGTCCTCAGTCTAAGTAGTGTGAAGTCTGACTTAGGTGAAATACATTTTTGTTGTTGTTGTGTTTTTTGTTTTGAGACAGGGTCTCCCTCTGTCGCCCAGGCTGGAATACAGTGGCATGATCACAGCACACTGCATCCTCAACCTCCTGGGCTCAAGCGATCCTCCCGCCTTCGCCTCCTGAGTAGCTGGGACCACAGGCACGTGCCACCACACCTGGCTTGAAAGATTTTTAAAGACACAGTTTAGCTACACTTCCTTTTATTTTGTAATGTAATATTTATCACTTTCATAATTGATTACTTTTAAAAGAATCACTTTAAAGAGAGAGTATATGTGCCCGAAAAAAGTAAGTCATCTCTCTGGTTTTCCATAATTTTAAGCTCTAACCATGACCAACATTATGCCTTTAGTTAATTCCGTATGGTATCATCCTTTTTAACTTTTCATTAAAATATAATGAACATACAGAAAAGTGCATAATTCATGAATGAACTTTCACAAAATGTTCTCTCATGAACATTTAAAGTTCACTGAATGAACTTTCATAAAATAAACACCTAGGTAACTAACCAGCACTCAGGTCAAAAGACAGAACATTACTAGCACCCAGAAGCACCTCTTTCCTAAGCCCACTTCCCACCGTGGTAGGTTCTGTCCTTTTGGGGTTGTTTTGTTTTGTTTTGTTTTAGACAGAATCTCTCTCTGTCGCCCAGGCAGTGGTGTGATCTCGGCTCACTGTAACCTCCACCTCTTGGGTTTAAGTGATTCTCATGCCTTAGCCTCCCTAGTAGCTGGGATTACAGGTGCACACTACCATGCCCAGATAATTTTTTTTATTTTTAGTAGATACGGCATTTCACTATGTTGGCCAGGCTGGTTTAGAACTCCTGACTTCAGGTGATCCACCCACCTCAGCCTCCCAAAGTGCTGGGATTGCAGGCGTGAGTCACTGCACCCAGCCTGGTAACATCTATCCTGACTTCTAGTATCATAGGTCAGATTTGCCAGCAATTGAACTTCATATAAATGGAATCTTACAGTATGTACCCTTTTGTGTCTGGCTTCTTTCGCTCAACAAAATATCTGCAAGATTTATTATGTTGTTACATATATTAGTTCATCCTGCTATGCAGCATTCTGTTACATGAATGTACTGCATTTTATCCATTCTCTTATTAAGGGATATTTTCAAACTCTCTATTTTAAACTATTCGATGAGCATGACAAACAAAACATGAGTCACTGCCTATATTATAGGTAGAAATAAATACTTGTTGACTTATTGATATTCCTCACTAAAAGAAAGAAAAAAAAGCTGCTTGTAAGTAAAGGTGAAACCAATGGCACAAGAACTGATAACATTCTAAGGATTATAATACAATCAGCCCTCAGTATCCATGAGGGATTGGTTCCAGGGCCCCTGCAGATATCAAAATCCACAGATATTCAAGTCCCCTCCAGAGCTGGCCCTCCATATCCGTGGGTGTCTGAATCCACACATGGGAACCTGCAGATACAGAGGGTCAAGGGGTACTGGCAATGCTGAGGAGTCTGAAAATAATCTAGAGGCAAAAGCACAGCACCTTGGAAATACCTTAAGGAAGAATGCCATCCTTAGGATCCTATCAACTTCTAAAGTGATTATATCTGGGAACTGTGGCGCATGCCTGTAGTCCCAGCTACTCAGGAGGCTGAAGCAGGAGAATCACTTAAGTCCAGGGATTTGGGACCAGCCTGGACAATACAGTGAGATCTCATCTCTCAAGAGAAAAATAATCATACAGTAAAATAAAGTGATTATTGTTGGTCTAATACTTAACAAAGGAATTATTAAGAAAACATCTCTGGAATTATTTGGATAGACCAAGCAGAAGAATGAATGTAATTATTTCTTTCTCTCTATACCAAGTAGGCCCTTTATCAAAAGAGACAGCACATTATCTAAGCACAGAAAAAGGAGAGAAACAAAGGGGGCAGAAAACTGTTCCATTCTTTTCACACAGAATTTATATACTCAAGAAGCCTGAAATGATGTTTTTGAATATGCGTATTCATAGTCATTTTTTGCAGCATGTTTCTAATGGCAAAAGACTGGAAATAATCAAACTGTCCATTAATAGAAGACTGCTATCATAAAAAGAATAAGAAATTATATATGAAAGAAAATTATATGCAAACCAGACTAAGGGGAAAAAAGCAAGGTATAGAACAAAATAATTGTTAGAAGGTTATCTAACAACTATGTTAAAAAAAAAAAGAGGGAGAAAAATAATATATTTGTTTGCAAATGTATAAAC